TAATTAAATAATTAATAAATTAAATATAAACTTTTTAATAAAAATTTATGATAAAAATCTATTTATTATATTTTTAGAATACATATTAAAAATTCTATAAAATTAAGGAAATTTTTGGCTGTAATGAACGGGAAAGATTATTCTCAAAATCTTACACCTAAAATTAGTTCCAACTTGAAATTTTGAAAAATTAGTTAACCATTTTTCTAAAAATAAAAAATTGAAAATCCTCGTGACTCGTGAGGGTCTAGGTTCAGACAATCGGACAGCGGGGACAACCGTGTAAATACCAAGGAAACGGTGGTCCTTTATTTACCCCCAAAAAGAAACGGAAAACAGGGATGCAAGTTTCAGCGTGCAGGTCAGTCCACGTGCCGTACCCACTTGACATCTCCCTCATATCCATCCAGACATCCACTAGCACAAGAAACACGTGCTTAAAAAATGTAATATAAACCATTCTTCAGAAAATTTTCAACAGAGAAAAAAAACAAGACAACTCATTGCCAATCAGCTGCAGAGCACTTTCGGCCCTAAAAAAAAACAAAATTCAGAGGCCTCTGCTTCCCTTATATTCTTCTCTCAACCTCCTCTCTGTCCTCACAATTTCTCTTCATTCCAGCTTTTCTGTTGAAGACATGACGAGTTCCGGCCAGAAATACGGTAGGGCGGCGGAGAGATCCAATTTCGTCAACCAATTGAGTCAGTACCTGAAGGAGAAGAGGAACAATGGAGATCTTGCTAAAGGTACTTTTCCTTTTCTCTCTGTTCCGTTTCTGCTTCTTGATTTGTGTTGCTAATTTTTGTTTGGCAATGTTTTAGGTCCGCCGGCGATGATGAATCTGTTGTCTAATATGGAAAATTCCACTGGCAATTTGAGACCGGCCGCCGCTGCGTCGGCGTCCGTTGTCCAACCTTCCGATTTTTGGTCCAAGTTTCCCGGTTCTGCCGAAGAAGCTGCTAACAAGAATGATTTCAGGTTTGTGCATCTGTAGGAGTGATTTATTTATTTATTTATTTTTTTAAAAAAATTTAACTTAAATTTCGTTAATTCCGAAATAATTGAGTGGATTTTTCTGTTCTTGATTTAGGAAGCCGGACATGGCGGAGGGGTTAAAAGCTGCGCCACTGACCATATTTTTCGCCGGACAAGTGTTCGTATTCAACGACTTTCCGGCTGACAAGGTGAAGGAGATCATGGCCTTGGCCAAGCAACGATGCTCCGGTATTTCCACCGGTTTTGTCTCCGATTCCCAAGCCACCGTTGAGAAATTGAATCCTCCTAGCAATTCCGAGACTCACATTCCTGACCTGAACATAGCCTCCACCTCCGGAAGCAGTCGGGTAGCCGAACAACATTCCGTTGACCGGGCTCAAGCCATCAGTTCCGGTAATTATCGAATTAAAACCACAAATTTCTCCAATGAAAATGCCAAACGCCTACAGATACTGATTTCTGTCTGCATTTTTCCTACAGGTTTGCAGCTAGGAAGAAGGAATTCGGTTCTTGGTCAGAAAACGGAAATCTCGCTTCACAGATTTTTTAAGAAGAGGAGAGAAAGGTTCATGGCAAGAGCACCATACCAAATTCAGAACCCTCAGAGATCCCCTTCGACACCAGATGATAGAAATTTATCGCCAGAAGAAGGTCAAACATCAAAAGAAGGATTAAAAGACCTCGATCTTAAGTTATAGTTAGAAACACTTGGATTCTAACTAAGATTGGATATTGTGAAGGAACACAAGATGCAACATGAATCACTTACTTTTGACGAAATTATTGTTATACCAAAACTAATCTTGGTCTTAGACATTTTATACAGACATGTATCTATTTGAATTTAAGGAATCCTGATTCTCTCATGCTAGTTTGATGTATTTGTATTTGGATGGTAGATAGTTGATTTACTTGGATTGTTAAGAAGCAAAGAGTAGATTTTGAGATCTTGATTTGTAATGAGTTTTCGCTTTGAAGGTTGGATGCTTGAGAAAATGTTGTATGAGGAATTTCATGTAACATGAGAAAAAAAAAAAATAGAAATCAATTTGATTAGTTTGTGCGGAAAACATTTTGCTTTTGTTGCGGAAAAAAATACTTTATGACCCATTATAGCTAATGCAACTGCAGAAATTAAGGCAGGGAATAAGACTGGAAATTGGGCAAAAGCACTTTTGAGTCTTTGACCAGGTACCAAAATACTTGAATTCTAAGGTAGGTTATGAAAGAAAAGTAGTACCAAATCTAGTGAAACTTGGGCCTACAAATTTGTGTCTCGCATTGAATTGTTGACCCATCAATAACTGTTCGCACTACCTCTATTCCTTCTTCAAATTGTCCTTTGTCGTAGCGTCGAGATTGAGACCATTACTCTGTTGGGTTGTATGTTCTTTTCAATTAAGGGCAATTACAGGTATGGGGGAAAGGAATGGGTCCAAGGTATGGGTTAGGAGAAGTATTAATAATTTATAAATTTAGTGTGAATATTTAAGTAGTTGGTGAAATTTAAATTTTTAATTAATTTTATTTAATATTAAGATTTGAAATGAACTATTAAATTCTAATATATCGGTTCTCTTGGGTTGTATGTTGATTTTTTTTTTTATTTCAAATTTTATAATATAATATAATTTTAAATACACAATAGTTTTTCTTTTTATTTTTTGCTCCCTTGGCATCATGCCTAGTAGGATTTTGTAACTATGCGTTGTTTTGCAAGATTTGTGTAGGTATCCTAGAGATAATAATTTTTAAAATTTATCAATTTTGAGTTTTTAATAAAGATTTTGTAGCTGTCCTAAAGATGATAAGTTTTTTTTTTTTTTTGTTAAAAAAAATTATTCTTTTCGAGTTTTTAATAAAGATTTTGTTGCAATCCATTGATTTATACAAGTGTGGTGTTATTGGTTATCCATAACATCAAACTAGAGATAATTCCTAGATAGATCTAAAAAGTGCAACACTACAATAAATTAATCTTTTCAAATGATTTTATCCATTAATAGGCAAAGTTGATGCTCTTAAGGATTGCATAAAGGTATCCCATTTTTTTTTTTCTTATATTTTGAAGAATCTTATATAGTCATAGATTCAAATGCTATTGGCAATATTTGGATGATCCATTTTGCCTACTAAAATCTTTGTTGCTAGTTGTTCAAGGTTTATGTTATACTAAAGAAAAATTCTTATAAAAAAAAAAACCAATGGAAGAAGGGTGTGGTATCTTTGCAACAGCCTAAAATGGTAGTAAAAAACAAAAAAAGTAGTAAAAGTATAACAGAGAACAGTGAAAACTATATTTTGAACAGTGATTGTTACTATGTTGTTCAATATCAAGCCCATAATGCTAAAAAACGAGTCTGACCCGGATTAAAGGATCTGACTAGGCTCAGCTTCTAGGCCAAGCCCACTCCAGACCAGATGCATTTTTGTTTTTTAACTAAAATGAAAAAGCCCACTCCAATTGAGAACGTCGTTATAGTTATAGTTTAATGGTTACAT